AGAGTGCCAGGCAGGGACCTTGGGACCTTCATGCTTATCCGTTCTGGATGTGCCTTCAGCCTCATGATGGCAACAGCTGGTGATCACAGGATGTTAGAAGGGACGCTTGACTTTGCTGACTTCTTGAAAAATAAACTTGCAAAACCACAACTCCAGAAATACCGTCTTCATAATAAACACAGTTGCATTAGTAAAGTTAATTGTTGTGTCATGTACCTGGGCAGGATCACGAGAATTTCCTAGTTTGTTTTAAATCCAGGTAGTTTTTCTTTTATTAGATGAGAGTCTTGAGTTTTGAGAACCAATGAAAGAGCAGCATGACTCACACTTGTTTTGCAATATTCCACCACCACATGTAGTGTTAAACACTCAGGGGTGCTGACGATTTCTTAAGGCAGTCAGTTTGTGACCCACGGTTTTTGCTGTTTGCTTTTTTAGGTGTTTAAAATTGTATGAAGCAACTTCCCTCAGAAAGCAATCCACTTTCATTTTCGTGGCACTCACCCACACACGCTCTTCAATCCCAGCTGCCATCTTTAGGACGTACGTTGTCGTTGACACTTTAGTGATAGCTTCATATTTCCAGGAGACCAAGGTTGTGGCCACAGGTAGTTTTAAGTTCTAATTCAGTGCCCTTAGAATCACGAACTTTTAAGGAGAGCAAAGGCCTTCAAGATCCTGTTCCAGCAAATGAGATCCTCTCAGAGCCTAGGCGGGTTTTACAGAGCTGGTCAGGGGCCGAGCCCCGTATAAACATTCATTAAATAGTTGCCCGAGCTTCCAACCAGGCTCACACTGCTGATACACAGCAGAATCGATCTCTGCTCTTGGAAAGAGAGACACATACGAAAACATGTATGATCCAACACGATCAATGCTATCGGTGGAAAGTGCTATGGGAATGAAAAGGAAAGTTCAGCCATATTTCCTCCTGGGTTTTAGCAGGTACTTCACTGAGAACGTTCTCCCTTCTGTGACCCCTCTGTTCAGCTTAACAAAGAATTTTCTGAAGCAGACGAGCTGAGCTTGTAGTCTTGTGTTCTATCTGAAAGACTTTAGTAGGTCACTCCTTTCCTTTTCCAAGTCTGAATGCCCTAACGGACCAAGAATGTTTACATTCATTTCTCACCTACAGAGGCAACGGTTCTGAGCTACGATGGGAGTATGTTTATGAAGATCCAGCTCCCCGTGGTCATGCACACAGAGGCTGAGGACGTGTCCTTACGGTTTCGATCCCAGCGTGCATATGGCATTCTCATGGCAACCACCTCCAGGGACTCGGCAGACACCCTCCGCCTGGAGCTGGACGCAGGGCGTGTGAAACTGACGGTCAACCTAGGTAACAACTCACCTTCCCCACTGAACTAACACCTTTCACTTTTTGTTCCGTTCTGCCTGCCAACATTTATCAAGTAGCCTGTTTGCCATGGAAAGTTAAAACACTTAATGGTCTCATTTCCATCATTTAATTTAATTTAGGTTTTGGGGGCATCTTTTTATTGTTTTTTTTTGTTGTTGTTGTTATTATTGTTGTTTGTTTACCATAATTTACTGTCTTGTGATTCCTACCACTGAGGGTTCTTGGAAGGAAGCCATCCATATCAATGAGGTTAATTGAAAATATAAATCATTAGGCTTGCAGAGGCCTCAAATCGAATTTCCTATTATCATATTTATTGGCA